TTTATATAGGCAGGATAGGTAGGGTTACAGAGAGGGTGATCGGGTTAGGAGATTGAGTTCCTAGTTTGTTACACGATATGTGCAACAGATTGATCGTAGCTATCGTCCAGATTCACCTGCCTTGGCTTACCTTGATCTCCGTGTTGGTTGATCGTGTCAGCTCTTGTGGGCCTCCTTGGCGGCTGCTGGGCCGATGGCTTGGTGATGGTCACATATACGGGCGGTGCAGGTACCCCTGTCCCATATATCTGACACGTTGCTGCGCTCCAACGAGTTACTGACCACGCGCTCCGAACCCAGCTCCGGACGCGCATAGTGCACCCTTCGGACCATCGCCGACCTCGGTCCGATGGTGTGCAGAAACCACACTAAGAGGTCTAGAAACATGAAAAACACGTCAGACCCAGTCCGGCTAGACCCTCCGGACCAAGCACCAGGGTTCGACGCTTACTTTGCTCGCGCGCTACTCTCTGTTGACCACCGTCAGACTCAGGGCCGCGGGGATGACGCCCACGCCGAGCTGAGTCCGGAGCCTGCGCACACTATGCAAGGCACCGTCGGACCCGAAGCTCATGGGCCAGAGCCCACCCCGAGCTGGGTCCGACGCTCACGTGTAGAGCTGTTGTCACCTAGGGTTAGCCACCGGACTGGCGGCGCATGGGCCGACGCCCAGGCCGGCCAGGGTCCGACGCCCCTACTTCATCTCCCTTTGCTCTATTTCAAGCGCAATCTCTTCTCCCTTGCTCTCATGTACCAACACCAAAATGTACCCAACTTTTGTGCATGTGTGTTAGCATTTTTTAAATCATTTTGCAAGGGTTAATTAGTACACTAGAATCTAAGTGCATATGCAATGAGTTGGAACTTCTAGTGGCACTTTGGTAACCACATTTCACAATGAATTTCTCTCCACTTCATAGTACGGCTATCAATCTTAAATCCAGTCACACTCTCTATAGTGTCTTGACCGGCATAGCAAAATGGCCCTTTTGCTTATACCTTTGCCTTGAGTCCATTTTGTTTTTCTCTTTCTTCTTTTCCAAGTTGGAGCATTTGATTCACCATATTTTGGCCACCTCCATCACCATGAGTGCCATCTAGCTCCACATCTTGGACTTGGACCACCCTAAGTTATCAACACACTTAGACATAAGGTTAGTGTAGAAAGATAGAATTGGGAGGCAATTGGCCACACCTCAATAGGAGGGGGCGCCTTCTGTTATATAGGGCCGGCTGGCCTTGCTTTACAAGGCAAGGGTAATTCCCTTGATTTACATCTACTAAATATAGTAACTAATCCTTGATTTACATCTACTAATTATGGCTACAAATGCCGCAGCATATGGTAAGGGGCTGCGGCATATTCTATTGCCTAACAGTTAGTCCAATAGGTTTCATCAATTAGCCAAAATCAAACTAGGGCTTTCAAGCGGAGATGATTTCACCGCCATGGAATTATTTTCTCCTGTCTCTTCGTTTTGTTGTGGTTAGATCTGACCACAATGAAGGACTATGGAGGATAAGTTTTAGATCGGTCGTCCTTATTCTTCTGTGGCAGAAAGAAGAAGGAAGACACAAGAAAGAAGTTTCTCCACTTCGCCTGCAGGAACGTTGGCCGTCGTTTGTTGGGCATCTGTTCTCAGGCCTTTTGCCGAGTGTTTGCCTGCACGGTCATCCATACAAATCGTCATACATGTTTGGAGTTGAAATTTGGAGCTATAGAATGCGTGCGTACAATTTAGATGATCCGTTTCTAGATATATGTAGTGTATTCTAGAGTACTTATAACGTGATGATGTACTCAGCTATATTCTAATATAATTCTTCTTTCGTCGAAAAAATGGTACATGGTCGCTGGTAGAGCTCCCTCATGGGCGTCGTTCCATTGGGTTGAAGTGGGTCTTCATTCTTCAAGCTCAATAAGAATGAGGCTAGAGCAATGATCAAAAGGCTCGCCTCGTTCGCCAAGGGGTACGTGCAGTAGCTAGGCATTGACTTCGACGAGGTGTTTGCACCCGTGGCTCGCCTTGAGTCTATGCAGCTATTGTTAGCCATGGCTGCACAAGAAAGTTGGTCGGTGCATCACATGGATGTGAAGTTGGCCTTCCTCAACGGTGATTTGGGCAAGTAAGACTACATCATGCAGTCATCGGGCTTCATCGTCGCCGGCACTGAGCACAAGGTATTACGCGAGCGAAAGGCGCTCAATGGGCTGTGTCAAGCACTGCAAGCATGGAAAGAGAAGTTAGACTTTACATTGCGTGCTCTCGGGTTCGAGTAGAGCCTGCACAAGCCGGTGATGTACCGGCGTGCCCATGGCGACTCACTACTACTCCTTGTGGTCTATGTGGATGATTTGATCATCACTGGATTGACCGAGGCAGAGATCAGCCGCTTCAAGGTGGAGATGAAGCCAAGGTTCAGGATGAGCAATTTGGGACTGCTCTCATTCTACCTTGCCATTGAGGTGCAGCAGAGCAGTGATGGTAGTGGCATCACTCTGTGCCAAGTGCACTATGCCAAGTGCATCCTAGAGATGGCAGGGATGAAGGACTGTAATTGTGCGCACACCCCAATGGAGGAGCGGCTCAAGCTAAACTGTGACAGCACGATAGCGAAGGTGGACATCACTCTGTACCGGAGGATTATTGGAAGCCTTCGATGCCTCGTCCACACACGACTAGACCTCGCTTTAATTGTGGGGTATGCGAGTCTCTTCATGGAGTGGCCTATGGAGGAACACATGGTGGCAGTGAAGCGGATCCTGTGCTATGTGGCCGGGACTCTATGTCTCGGCTGCCATTACGGGAGGATAAAGGAGGCGCTACTCTTGGGTACAACTTTGGTGACCTCACTGGCGATGTGGATACCTAGAAGAGTACATCTGGGGACTCTTGGGTACAACTTTGGCGACCTCACTGGCGATGTGGATACCTAGAAGAGTATATCTGGGGACATGTTTATGGTGGAAGAGGGCTCTGAGCGCAGTCCCGAAGGGGATAAGGAAAGGACTTAACTCACTAATTATTTTGGTTTCTTGGGAAGTATGGAAGCACAGAAATTCTTGTGTTTTTGAGAATGCTAGACCCAACATCTCCTTGCTGCTCCAGACAGTGTCTGATGAGATCAACATTTGGGGGATGGCTGGAGCATTTAAGCTCCAGGAACTCCTGGTGAGGTCGCAGGCCCCAACAGCATAGGTCGGGGGGTATTTGGTCGAGGTCGTGTTTGTGTCTGTGGCGCGTATATAGGCCTCTTTTTGTAGAAGTGTGGGGGTGTGTTCTTGGCTGGGGTTTTAGTCCTTAACCGGACTTTTGTACTATCTTTTCTCTCTTAATGAAATGACACGCAGCTCTCGTGCGTTGTTCGAGAAAAAAAATATCTGGGGACATGTTCTTCGACGGCTACAGCTTGGTGAGTGGCATGGTCTCAAGCAGAAGGTTGTGGCACTCTCGTCCTGTAAGGCGGAATATGTTGCTGCCACAACAGTAGCCACACGGGCGGTATGGTTGACACAGCTGCTTGGCGACTTCAAGGGAAGAGACACCAGCACTGTCGAGCTGAAGGTTAATAACAAGTTAGTGTTAGCTCTGTTGAAGAATCCCATCTTCCATGAGCGTAGAAAACACAATGATGTGCGCTACCACTTCATCAGGGAGTGCTTGGATGATGGGAGGATTAGTGCTAATTTTGTCGGCACTAAGGACCAGCTCGCTAACAATCAAACGAAGGCACTTGGGCGAGTCAAATTCCTTGAGCTTCATGCTAGGATTGGAATGGTCTGCTACAACTCCAAGTCAACACAAGGAAGTAGGAGGAGATTGCTGGAAATAATCCTGTGTCTAGGTTCATAGCATTTAGTTTAGCTAATTTTCAGCATGGAGTAATATGTTGATTAGTTGGGTAATATTCTACATTAATTAGGAGGCTATCACAACCTGATTTGTAACTCACATTTGGCTATAGAAGTAGAACAGAAAACAAAAAAGGCTAAGTCATTCCAGCCACCAAAACCACTCGTGCTCATGTGTATTTCTTGTGTGTGAATTCATGCTTTCCCGTTAGAGGCATATTTTCCTTTCAAATGGTATCAAAACCCATGATCAGAAAATCTAAAAAATCTCAGGGTCAAATAGTGATAGGGGAGCTTGTTAACATATTGGAGGCTCACACAGATCATGTGTGCTGGACTCTGGGCCTAGAGAACATCTTCCGGAGATTACACAGGGTTGTGTGATGTGAAGAGTTGGACCCAATGCATGACGGGGGAGATCATTTGATTTAGCCACACATCAAAAATTCGTAGCGGTGGAGCTCAGCATATCAGACGGGCAACCCTCACCTATTCGACTTGTCTTTTAGCTTGAGTTAGTCCCAAAGTCTTATTATGTTGTGGGCTCCGGTGAGCCTGAGCCTAAGGTACCAGCTCGTGGGTAAAGTGAGCTGGGTGGCTGGACCGGTTCCGCTGCGTAGTCTGACAAGTATCAAATTTTATGTCCACCATTAACACAGGAGGCTTATTGTACTGTAAAAGTTGAAGGATGCATTTCGTAGCAAACCAGATGCTAGGAAGTGTCACGTTCCTAAAATACAGATGCACTACATGATGATCAATGAACTTATACATTGCAAAATATACTTCCAAAAGCAAATTAGCAGTATTTTTAGTTTCAAATTAAATTATATGCGATAACTTTAACATTTTTTATCATATGTACCATTGATCAAAACTTTATGTTACTGTGACTTTTAAAAAAAATGTAGTATGTTTGTTACTAAATTGATTCATATAAATCCCACTTTAGTATGACGGAATGTAATGATTGTGCTATGCTTGTGGGACGCTGTGTTGCTGTGACTGGTCGGATGGGCCGGAGTGACACGGTCTATACATACAGCGTTCATTCAAAATATGGCTACTTGTTTGTTTAGTTCCTAATCTCGCATTTCGTGCAACGCAGGAGGCTGTTTTTAGGGTAACAACGAATCGGGGTCGAGGGATGGAGGAGGAAGAAGTAGAAGAGGGAGAGGTGGAAAACATGGAAGGAGAAGAGGAAGGGCACCCACTACACTATGCCACCAGTTGCTCCAATAAATTCTCTCTTCTATATCAATACCATGACTACAAAATTAAGGAGCTAGCTATCAAAAATCTTGAGGGAGTGGAGAGAGCAGAGGAAGTAAGCGAACATGGCAATTTGGCCCAATATCGACAACTGCAGTCACTGAGTTTGGAATGGGACAACAGCAGTATTGTGCAGGATTCAAGCACAGTTAATGACAATGCAGTTCTAGAAAAGCTCCAGCCTCATGGGAACCTAGAACAACTCAAAATACGAGGCTATAGGGGTGATACATTCTGTTCTTGGGTGACGAATATAAGTTATTTCCTTCCAAATCTTGTGAAAGTTGAGCTTTCTGACATGTTATGCTGCGAACATATCCCATTATTAGGCCAACTAGCAAACTTAGAATTTCTGCGCATCTCAAATATGCCTAGCCTCAGAAAAGTGGGCGGTGATATATATGGGGCTGACAGGGCATTTATGAAACTGAGAATACTTACCCTTGCAAGTATGGACAACCTGGAGGAGTGGACGACCACAACACTATCAACTCGTGATGATGAGCTGAAGTTTCATGAAAGCCATGGAGATGAAGTATTTCCTAATCTCCAAGTACTTAATATTAGAAACTGCCCCAGGCTGAGGTTTGTTCCAGCTTTCCCAGGAAGCCGGAGCTGTACCATAGAAAGAAGCAGCGATGTCCTATCATCTGAGAGATACATTGGTAGTTCGAATTTGGCATTACTGAACATGAAAATACGGAACTGTGGCATTTCTTCAGATATTTCCAAACTTCTTCGGTACTGTGTTAATCTCGAGCAACTGAGTGTTCATTCCTGCAATGACCTTATCACCTTGCCAGAAAGCATCTGAAGCTACCGCTCCCTCAAAACACTAGAGATAGTAGAATGTTGGGATTTTTGTGCTCTACCGGATTGGCTTGGAGAACTCACGTCACTACAGAAGCTGACAGTGCACGCTGCCAAACTGGAGGTTTTGCCCCAATCGATCCGATACCTGACTGCTTTGGACAAGTTAGTTCTCAGGGAATGCAATTTAAGAATCCTTGAGGGTTGCACGCTGGGAGAGGACTATGACAATATTAAACACATCAAACGCCTATGCTATGTACCTGAGGTAAATTACTCCCGGTCCTAAATTACTAACCTGAACCCCTCCTTATTTTCTCCCTCAGCATTGTAATATTTATAGTTTTTTTTCCTGTTTTGTATTTGATCATTGCATTATTTATATGCACGTGATAGCTTATTGATGTGATAAACAATTTTTGTATGTAAGCGTTGACATTATCACTTATCAGTAATTCAGTAGATATAGCTTTGAATTTTGTTATAGAGTAAAATGCACACCCAATCCTCGAGCTTGGTTCAGGTGCCATTTAGGTCCCCAAATTTATAAAATGCACATCTATATTTCTAAAGAAGGGCAGGCCTGGTGCAGTGGTGAGAGCTGTCTCACTGAGTCACCAGGTCATGGGTTCGAAGCAGCCTCTCCAGATTTTGCTTGGGGAAGGCTTGCCTCGGTTTTCCTTCCCCAGACCCACACGTGTGGGAGCCTCTCCGCACTGGGTCTGCCTACATCTATATTTCTAAACTTACTAATCATGTCACATGATATCTAGATCACCATAACTTAAGTTAATCTGCACGCATGGCACACTTATTGTGTGATGACATGGCACCCACACGCATGCTGGTGATTTGGACCTCACATAACACGATTAAATAACTTTCGGGTTCTAAATGCGCATTTTATAAGTTTAGGCACTGGATGGTACCCCGAACCAAGCATTTTACCCTTTTGTTATCTAAATTAATTTCGTCATAGGCTGCTTTGTCCTTACATGCTTGACCACTGCAACATGCCTTACTACTGTTTCCTCACGTTTCTGGTGAATGCAGAGACCTGTTCTTTCCTTCTGCAGAAGTGGCCCTCATATTGTTGAACTACAAATCAAGGATCTTCATCTTGTCCGCAGAGCAGAGGAAGCAGAGAATTTGGATTTGATAGGGAAAAGAATCTGCGTTCACTGAGTTTGGACTGGAGTCCTGACTATAAAGGAGGCTTACCTAATAAGCATGTTTTAGAAAAGCTCCAGCCTAATGGTGGCCTGGAAATACTTCGCATAAAAAACTATTCTGGTGCTGATTTCCCCGGCTGGATGTCTTCACTCACAAACCTTGTGAAACTGGAGCTCTCCCAATGTGCATATTGAGCATGTGCATCTGGATCAGTTACAGAGTCTTGAAGAGCTGCACATTTCATGGATACAGAGCCTAGGGCCAAAAGTTCGCATCTGGTGCACTGAACCACTTAGGAAGCTCAGAAGAATTATCTTATCAGAAGTAACTGATAAGGAGTTCGAAATATATATGGAGAAGCAGGGTCACGACGACAATTTGTTCCCAAGCCTTCAAGATTTGGAGGTACACTGTTGTTCTCGATTGAGGTTTGAACCATCAATCCCAAGGAGCGCCATGTATGTCTTATCAGGCCCAGGCAGTCCCCGCGAAGACCTATGTCCATCTTTTCAGCGAATCATGAGACCATCCACCCCGTTACCACAACCATCCAAAATGGAGATTAGGCACAGCAGACGGCTGTCTTCTGCATCGTGGAAGAGTCTTGAGCACTTCGATAGTATTGTAGAATTGACTATCGACCACTGTGCTGACAAGATACCTTTGCCTGAGAGCATCCGAGGATGGAGATCCCTCCAGAAGCTAGAGATTTTGAACTGTGAGAATATCGAAGGACTGCCAGAGTGGTTACCGGAGATCACTTCCCTTGAGGAATTCAAATTAGATACCTACATTTGGCCGACTTTGCCTGCATCTGCATGCATCCAACATCTCAGCACACTGAAGACATTGACCCTTTGTTGTGGTTATCTGCTTGAGCAAAGTTGTATATCTGGAGAGGATAAGAGCAAGCTGCCACATGGTGCAAAGTTACATATAGAGCGGAGAAAATGGACCTAGAATCAATTTCCTTGTATAGGTTCAGCATCTGCTGGAAACATAGGTCTGTTTATTCCTCTTTTCAGCTTCCGGTTGTTGGTGAGAGGGTAGTCTTATTTTTCATTTTTCAGACGAATATGCAGAGCCGTAGATTCTCTATACATGGCATTAGAGGCACCATATGCATATCAAACATCCATTATAGAATAACCGTTGAATTGAGGCACATTCTTATATTGATAATTGGTGATGTTGCCATGATAGTGTTGTGTGCTGGTGCATTGCAATCTTCCGTCCAGATGAGGTCAACGATTTTTATTTTATCAGGATCATACATAAACCCTCTGTGCAACTCTCTTTTGTGTTCATATGTGCTAGTACACCTCTCGAATAATTTTTCTCCTCGACTTCGACGAACTACAAGCGTAGATCCTTTCTGCACCCGGTATTCTTTTCCGACCAATTTTGCATCCACCATGAATTATGATAGTGCTCTGTTTAAGACACGACTATGACGATTGTGGTTCACTAAACCACTGTTTAGATTTACGTACACTCAGTATATTTAGCTGTTTGTGCAAATTAAACTAGGTGATTTCCCCACGCGTTGCTGCGGGAATGTAAAAGTAATTGGAATTGAGTTAGGAGAAATAGGATGTAGAAGGAATCTCGTTGGTGTATAAATACATAAGTATATATGCGATATAAGCAGAGAACAGATTTAGTTTTTTTTGCCAGGGGTGTAACTAAAGACAAAAAAAACTATATAAACTTGAATTAAATGTTGTACGTACCATGGGGCATATATTTGTACCATGATTACTAATTGATTTAAATATGCTTACATGAAAATTATACATTAAAAGAGTTGCATCAGTAGTCTACCGTGAATGAAGTAAATAAAAGGCACCACTCTAATCTTCAATCTTCAGCCTCATCAAAGAAAACACGGTCACTAACCTGTGGCGGAGATTATATATTGTTAGTTAATACACAGCACAAAAAAATTGGATGTATATCCATGAAAACACAAAATCCATTGCAATTGTAGATTTGGATATTCGGAAAACCATGTCCGCTCTCAAGGAAATTGAACGCACATAAGTGCCAATGTGACGCCTCTCCTGAGCGCCCCCACCGCCGTCCGCCGGTGGCCACTCCGGCCCCGACGTCCACCAAACCAGCGCGCCGGCGTCCCCACGACGCCGGCGTCCCGGACCCCCCCCCGGTCGCGGAGATGGCGAGCCCCCTTCCTCGTCTGATGAACGGGAGGAACCGCGGCTGCCCCTCTTGCGGCCTCAGCCAACGCCCCTCCTCCAGGGCGGAGCGTGTCAGGGCCGCTGTCGCCCCGCCGGCCGGCAAGGGAAAGGAGCCTGCTTGGCCACGTCCTCGACGCCGCCGACGCCAGGCGCGCGCGTCCGGCTTCATGGCCGACGCCCGGCGTGCGGGCACCGGGCCGTCGCCCCAGTCTCCGGTCGCGCAACCCCAACAGCATGCACGCCTGCGCTCCGTCGTGGTCCACCCTCCCCGCGCCACCTTCGAGGCCGACGAGGACGGCTTCCACGTCGTTGAGAGTCGACGTCGCTAGCGCCGCCGCCCAATGCGCCCCAAGCCAGCCGCGCGTCCGGTGCCACCGGAGCTCATCGGCCTGTGCTTCAACTGCCTCGCCTCGGACCATGTCGCCGCGCAGTGTCGATTCCCATCGCGCTGCCTCCGCTGCCGTGGCACCAGCCACCGCGCCCGCATGTGCAAGCGTGCGCGCTCTCCATGCTCGGACAACGTCGAGGTTTAGGGCCGCACAAGGTCACGCCTTCAGCGGCCAAGGTCTCGCCCGCCTGTGGCAGAGGTCCCGGAGGACACCGACTTTGCGCACTCCGTGTCCACTGGGAGGGAGACGTCGGTGCCTCCGGGTTGTGGTCCGTCGCCACCAGAGACACCCGTGCCACCCAACGCACCATTGCCGCCACCGCGCCCAAGCCCGCCGCCAGGCGACCTAGCATGCGTCCCCGCACGGGGATCGTCATCATCCCGCGCAGCCAGGAGGTCAACTCGGCAGAGGCGGAACTCTCCCTAGCGCTCGTCGCGATCGTTGGTCGCAACCGCCCCATGGTGTCCGCCGCTGATGTCCGAGCTCTGCTTGAGGGGTTCTACCACCTAGCCCCAGATGAGTTCTCCGTCAGCACCTATCCCCCAGAAGACTTCCTGGTGCGGTTCCGGTCTGCCCAAGCTCGCGATGGCGTGCTCCACGCCCCCCACCCACAGGGCACGCGGTTCGTCCTTCTGTGGCGGCCATGGCGGCGTCAAGCATGGGCTTCCGCCGGGTCCTTTCGCTTTTGCGTGTTGCTCGGCATGCGGGGGATCCCGTCGCACCTGTGGAATGTCGCCGCGGCACAGCAAATCCTCGGTCCTGCCTGCGCGGGACTGGAGCCTGCCCAAGCGACTGCAAGCCAGGAGAACATGTCGGAGTACACTTCATCACCGCTTGGTGCGTCCACCCGGACCTCATTCCACCGGAGCCAGAAGCGCCGTTCGTCGTCGAGCCTCCGCTGTACCTACGACGCCATGAAGTCATCCAGTCCGAGCTCCAGGCCCTCCGATACCTGGTCCGTATCCTATCATACAGGGCCATGATTGGCGTACACCTCCGTCAACCTCTGATGACGAGCCGGTCGGGGACACTGATCACAGCAACGACCACGGTAGCTTTGACGGTGGTGATCGCGGACGCCCGACGCGGCAGCCCCGCCGCTTCGGAGATGGTGGCGGCGGTGGCGCAAGTGCATCCGGCGGCGCTGCCAACGACGAGCCACGACTGGGACCAGGCTGGGGGCCCACATTCTGGTCCGCCCAGTCCCTGATCGTTGGAAGATTCCCATGCCCGGTGCGCGGGACAGCTGGAGGCTGGTCCTTTGGTCGCAAAGCAAAAGGATCCCAATCCTCTACGCCGGCGATGACGCTGGTTACTGACGACGCCAAGCCCTTTCCAGTGGTGAAAGAAGCACCCGAGGCAGACCAACTCAAATTCGAATTCCAAGTTCATCAGGACCGGTCATCCCCGCTAACATGGATCGACCCGCTGTCCATCACCGCTGAAGCCACGCGTCCACTTCCGCAGGCCACGCCGCAATCTGCGGGCTTGCGGACATCACCAAGCAGGGCGGCAGAGTGGGTGGCCATGGACCACGACGCGCAAGACTAGCCGTCTATCAAGCCAACTGCTCTGTCACAGATGCAGGGACCGGTGGCTAGCGGCCCGGTCTCTGCGGACACGGCAGGGGCCACGCCTGGGCCCAGACCAACGAATGAAGAGACCGCGCTGGTGGCCCATGGAGCCTAGGGGAACATCTCGGCCCAGCTTACGGCAACAAGGCCGCTGTCGCCACATGCACAGCCGTTCGTCCCGCGGGGATCGCGATCACCCGTTGTCGGATCACCGCTGCTACACTCGCACCGTGTAACCCATGTAGCAGTTCAATTTTCACATCGGCAGTGAGCTGTCGCTATTACGGACTGACTGGGAAGTACACAACACCGCCGCATTGACTTATCATCTGGCCGTGATAAGATTCTTACTTCTATCGCATTGAAGCATAACTCGTTTGTGTGGATATGCACTAACACCACCGTGTTGGCTTATCATCCGTTCATGATCAGGTCGTTGTTTCCGTCGCACTGGAGCACGACCCGCCTGTGTTGGTGTACACTAACACCGCCGCGTTGGCTTATGATCCGTCCGTGATCAGGGCTTTGTTTCTGTCGCATTGGAGCACGGCCCTCCTATGCGAGGCGAACATCACAAGGCTGCTACGTATTTCATTGCTATGATTCACTTTCCCGAGACACATTTACACGGACGCCTAGAGCTCGAGCAAGGCGCCGTTTGGTTCCTCGAGAAAGAACGTCGCATTGGACGAATCACTTCCCCGAGACACGTTTACATTACATGGTAGCGATCCTTCAAGAACGCGGAGTCTCCGCCTACATAAACCGCTGGCCCTATTTCCCCAGCACTCTCCGCCTCATCGTAGTCGTGCCTTCGTACTCCGCTCCGATGTCGCATCCGTCGTCGTTCGTCGCGCTCGTGCTTCGACTCTGCTTCTTCCTCGGCTACATCGTGATGGATCGACACCCGATGGAGTTGGCCGCGGACATCGCTGGCCGCGTCGCTGAACAGTCATATGCCCCCATGGATGACCTTGCCAGCCTGCGGGCAACCTGCTCGTTCATGCGCAGGGTGTGCGACACCGTCGAAGTCGGCCGACGCATACCACTATGCCGGGTGCTGCAGCGTCAAGGTTTCTGGGAGCGCCACTACTACTACGACAACCACTATCGCGCCCTGCTCACCACCAGGCTGGCTAGCGTGGGCAACTCGGAGGCCTGCTTCCTCGTCGGCTTGCGTCCTGTTTTCGTGGAAGCCCATAGGTCATTGACGCCGCCGATTGAATGGCTTCAGCACTCTACCAAGGCCGGCCATGAACTTGGAATGTATGTCAACGCCCTCGTGCTCTATAGGTCTAATACCGGCACCAGCAATGATGACATTGCCCGGCGCCTATTGAGGAAGCTCGAAGGTGCTGACGAAGCGGGGCCAGCTGCACTGCCGTGGAAGAACTAGACCTATACGCGGTGCCTCCAAGACGTGCACTGGCTGTTGCAGGGCATGGTGCCATGGCATGTAGAGCCCATTCTTGGCTCCGCTCATCCCCGGGACGGGCATCAGTGCACAAGCGTCGGCTACGGCGTGCTCATCGGATTTGAAGTATGGGACATGTGGGCTAGGTTCCGCAGCGTGGAGTGTAGGATCTCACGGGAGTACTATAAGTTATTCACATCAATGTGGTAGATTATATCTAGGGTCTTATAAGTTATAAGTAAACAATCTACTGTTTGAATATCACTTTTTATCCTATGTCTTTTATTGTTATTTTTTGTTCTAAAGGCGATACTCTAGTTGCCAGCTATTTTGAGCCGATGAGACTCGGCTATCAAGTATCGACCCAAATGAAATACTTTGGTAGTACTTCTTTATGTGTTTTCCATTGAGGTCTACGCGATAACAGATCCGTATCATATGGCGGTTTGCACATACAAAGCAACAGATCCGAGGCGCTGCCATAATCTTGGTACCCTCCGAGGGTCAAGGGATGTAGTCTCGATTCTCATAGGTACAGAGATTATGGAATCTAAAGAACAACACAGCACATCGTAAAACTTCACCCTCAGTGAGGTTCTCTACCTTCCATCTTGCAACCCTCACAGTCAAGGGATGATGCGATCTGCTTCTTGACCGTGAGAGCTGCAAGATGGAATATAAAGCACCCAATCTTGAAGAATGAGCACCTCGCAAACTTAAAGCACCCCAATTGAGTATGGAGCCCTTGAATAGGAGAGAACCAGATGATTGCAGATCTTCTGTTAACTCAAGATTTGTAATCATCAAGGTCAAGCTCCTGTTCAACAGCAGCACCTCGCAAAGGATGGAGAAGGAGCACCTCGCAAAACTTGCACCAGCATCTCAGTGAGGTGCTTTACATTCCATAATCTTGCTACCTCTGAGAATCGAGGGATGCAAATATGCATCTCGATCCTCAAAGGCAACAAGATTATGGTATCTAAAGCACCCAATGTTGAAGGCCTTCTCCAAAAACCACTATCCCTATGAGGTGCTTTATCTCCATCTTGCACCTCTCACGGCTAGGCGCAAGGATGAAGACAAAGCACTTCTTGACGATGAGGAAAGATGATTAGCTCATGAGTGTATGGATTTAAGAGTGTGTGGATTGAGCCCAAGAGATGAATCTAGACCCTTGTTAAATAGGCCAACCTTGAAGATGGAGAAATGCAAGTAGAGTATGGTAATACAACTATGTCCAACCTTGAAGATGGAGAAATGCAAGTAGAGTATGGTAATGCAAGTGTGTTGTGGGTAGTTGGGAAATAACTCAAGTTGACTTCACCGCCGCTAGACCAGAGGGTCATGGAGGGCCAGCGGCCATAACACGTATCCCAGTCAGCTCGGCTTTTCATGCGACTGAGACAATACAACTGCCGCATCTATTGTTAACCCGTCGGTGGTAGAAGTTTCAACTGTCAGTTTCCTTCCTCAGGAGGCCTCGCTATAGGTCCAACCGGCGGTGGAAGTATAATACCGACGCTTTTATCGCTACAGCAGTAAAAGTGACGGTGGTGAAAAGAATAGTGCACCTACAGTGCAGCCGCCATCCATCCCCGACTTCATCGAGTCCTTGAGGCTGCTGCTGCAAAAACCGCTCATCAAGTCGCCACCAAAATGCCGCTATGCCCGCCACGCCACTATGACTGCCCCACGGCGTAGCGATTGCCTAGCCGGGAAGTCACCCATGCGCCACCCGAAGCCGAAGATCCAGGTGAAGAGGGTGATGCTCGGCAAGTGGAAGTCGCCCTCTGCACCCTTGCAACCGCAGACTCCTGATGAGTCCATTACCATCAAGTTTCATCAGACATTCGCTGAACCACTATCTTCAACCAAGCGGGCTGCTATGCGTGAGATGTTCCCAGCCACGGAAACAACAAATTGCGCAGCGGTCGAGGAGTCAGTGGCATACTGACTCTTCTGTTCCATCATCGCATAAACAATCGCAATGAGTGAACACATCCTCATCTAGAATGTGCGTGGGCTCAATAGCCGCGCCCGTCGTTGCGTAGTTAGGTATCTCCTGATCCAACAACGCATCTCCTTTTTGTGTCTCCAGGAGACCAAGGTCGAATTGTTCTCTATAACCATGATCAATGAAATGCTAGGAACTGACTTTGAGTATTTCTGCTTGCCTACTTCGGGGATTTCGGGGGGGGGGCGTTATGGTTGCTTCGTGTCGTGACCTTTGGATGGGTACACTCATGTTTGCATGTCGCTTCTCAGTCTCCATCAGGCTACAACCCCGGGACTCGACTAACTCCTAGCCACGGTGGCTTATGGCGTGTTAGCAACGCCCCTGACGCTGCTTCCACTGTCTGCGTCGCCCTGCTAGAGGCAGCCTCCACGGCAGCACTCCGTCTTCTCCAAGGCCCAGAGAGGCGAGTTCGGCCCAATCCCAAGATGTTCAGGCCCATGTGGCAGTCATAGGCTAGTATAAGACCAGAGATAGAGAGAGAGAGGACACGAATCCTATAAATCGTAAACTCAATTCTGTTAAGCACTCATCATTACTGTATACCTTCTTCCTCTCATTCAGGCATTAGTTTCCTAGTTCATGCTTACAATTGGTATCAGACTACGGTGTCGATCTGGAATCCGCTCTTCTGCCGCCGCACGAGCACTTCACCAGGATCCACCACGCCCATGGTGCTATGGATCCCAACCTAAAGCTGGTCCTCGATGCGCTCAACCGACGTTTCGACGAGCAAGATGAGAAGTGGGAGCGCCGCTTCTCTGACTAGGACCGCGACCGTGCCTCTCGGGATGCGGCACTCGACACCCTCATCGCCTCCCTGGAGTCCGCCTGCTTCAATCTGGAGTCCCTTTGTCTCGCCCATGCCAACGACGATCGTGACAGCCGAGTCACGGCACTGGAGGTGGCGGCTATGGATCTCGGTACCTGGAGGCTGACGGTGGAGGCGCTGGTGGACGACCTTCGGCTCGAGGTGAAGCGTATCTCCACCAACTAGGAGCAGCAACTGGCCGACTCGTCTTCTCGATAGCTTGAGCTTCAGCTCTCCCCTTCGTCGGCGTCTGCGCAGCCTGCTGCCGGATCTCACACCGACGGGCCCAACAAGCACTGCGCTGGATCGATTACACGGGGTACTGGCTCTGGGGTCGCCACGACCTGGAACCATATCCCGGTCAACGGTACGACGTCTACACCTCACCTTCCAATTTCATCTGGTGTTTGTGTTTTGGAGTCAGATCGTCCTTCGCCCATCATCATTCCTCCTCGTCATCCGATTTGTCCAATTCCATCCAATTTCTACCTGCCCTATACTCTTCCCACTTCCAATTTTCCTCTTCCGCCAACAGGCCCGCCTAATTTCCCCCCTCCACCCATAGCTTCAACCACTGCTCCGCCCAATTTTTCCCTTCCAGCATTTTCCCCTCCAGCATCAGCTCCGCCCAATTTTCATCAGCCGTACCCTTCTCCATCGCATTACCCTCAGTTTTCTCAAACCCACATGATTCCTACCAATTTCTCATCCCCTCATCCAACTTCACAGAATTTTGCT